GGCCTTGCTGCCGCCATCCCGGCTCTGAGGCGTGGCCTGCCTCTGTGAGGGACGCTGGCCTACATGCTTTGCCGCCTCCGTACCCAGAAAGAGGTGGTCACGCAGGCAAGACCAAACAATTCCCCCCATCTTTAAGTTCTGCCATATATGCCTTCTTTTTCCATTTGGAAATTTATTGTACAGCTGGAGCTTAAGGCCGTGAGTTACTTGGTTGAGAATTCTGGATGTTTGGCAGGTTAGTTAAAGTGGTAATTTAGTGTTGCAAGTGCCAGCCAAGTGAAGCGCACATGCCAGCTCAGGTTCAACACTTACAACCAGTTCTTTACAGAAAAATGACAGGCCTCTGGCTATCCCATTCAAGAGACAAGACTGTCACTTAGATTGCACTGTCTCAGTACATACTTGCTCTGTCCTCCCCAAGAATGCAGGTGAAGATGCTTTTGCATGCAACTTCACTGTCCCAAAGGATAGTCAGAGAAAGTCTGTTAAAGATTAGCAAGAAGGGATATTCCTGTGTGGGACAGTCGCAGAGCAGCATCCTCCATCAGTAGATATGTGGTTGTGCAGCAAGTGTTCACATGCCCTCTGTTTTTATTCCACATCAGAATGTGTGCTTTGCTTAAACACCATCCCAGAAGACAGATGAGGACATAGAAGCTAATAAAGCAACTTTTTTATTCCAACTCTGTTTTTGAATGAAGGTAGAGTAATGTTTTTGTATAGGTGGGGGATAGAGTCCCCAATTCGTATGATGTCATTCTTGCTTTCTGATTTACAACAAAGAGGAACTGAGAAGCTGGAGGTATGCATAAAACATGTATATCTCGAGAGGAGGAGAGTCCATAGTACCTCCAACATTATTCCACCAATTCTGAGGAAGAGGGATAGTTGCATGGCCTTGTTTCTCCCCCTTCTGACATTAGTGCTGTCTTCCAAGTAGTAAAGTCAAATGCAAACAGTAAAATCTCCTTGATTTAGACATTTGGAGACTGAGGATGGCAGAATTCTTTTCCTTTGGACAGTAGATGAAAAAGTGCCCAGAGTAACACCTTTTCTTGTCAGTTTTGCAAGTGAACATGAGATGATAACCATTACTTGCAAATCTTCCCTTAATACTACCTACAGACCCTTTTCAGATAAAGAAGAAAACTTCATTTCTTGTCCAGAATGAAGAGCATGTGACATTTTATTAATATTTATTCCTAGAAAGTGGAAATGTTCACAGAAAGCAGTAGAATAAATCTTCTAGTAGGAAAAATTCTTTCTTTTTTTCTTGTTTGGTACTGCATTTGCTTTGGGGGAGGGGATTTGCTGAATAAACTACTTGGCACTTGATTTATAATAAAATGACTATTGCTTTTTATTACATTCTGTCTAGACCTCTGGAATACAAAGGAGAATCCAAGTAATTCTAACTAATAGTCATGGTGGTCAATGCCATCTTGCTTTATTTTTAATTGCTCTTGTCTCTCTGAATCTTTCTGGAACTTACTGGCTCGTTCTTAGATTGCAGTCTGTTTGGGGCAGGGATTGCTTTTTTAATGTTTTTATGTTTATTTTTAGAAAACATGCAACCAAGTAGTCTGGGTCCCTAACAAAGGTCTCTAGTTGTTCCAAAACCAGAAACATAATAACAGATTGCAGATTTAATTTTAAGTCTTATTTGACTAGTACCACATTATAAATGCCATCCTGCATCTGTTTGATTAGTGTTAAGTGAATTAGTTGAGTTCAATTCATGTCACAGAAAATAATCCTTGTGATTGAAGTATTTGCGTTTTTGTTGGTCATATTAGTAGTGATGTCAGGCATCAGTTTGTGCATTGGAAATTGGTAGATGTTTATGCTGTAAAAGGGATTTATAACACTTGGCAGATTAACATAGGTCAGTAGAGAACAGAGGTTGTTGATGTAATTCATTTTTCAAATATTCACATTTAAAAAACGTGATTGTAAATTATTTAAGATATAAAATGTGACTGCTAGACTCGTACAGCACTAATGTATTCTTTGCTAAAGATGTGCAATAATGTGGCAATTTTGTTTAAACAAGACTTCCACTAGGAGATGTCTGCTTTTCTTCTGGTTGAGTACATTTTAGCTGTGACCGTGGAGGGTCTGAGGATACATATCATAGGCCTGAATAACTTCTGCTTTTCTATACTTTACTTTAAAAATGTGCATGTTGATAATTTATTATTTTTTTTCTAAGATGCTTCATGCTGAAAGTAGAGTAAGGCTCTTGGAGTGTCAGGATGAAATTGAACCTTGTTCTAAAAAAATGAAGTCAACAGAAGGGACTTACGAGAAACTCACTGATGATGATAACCAAGGTATTCAAGAGGAAGTGGATGCTGAGAGAACATCAGATGATTTGATATCAGTGTATGCCTCAGATAACCAAGGGCAACATGAAATGCAGAAGCAAGAGAAAATACCTACTGGTGTCTTGGGAGCACTGAATGAAGTGCTCCCTGATTATAATCTAGTGCTTAGTCAGCCAGTTGATTCAGAAACTGTGTGGAATGTAAATCTTCCATTTGCATCCATAAATGACACTAAAGTTGAAGAAAAGAAAGGCCCCACAAATAGTAGTGGTGAAGATAATATTAGAAATGGCAGTACATCATTCTCAGTAAATAGAAATGCATCAGATGAAGAGTTTTTTACAAGTAAAGAATTTATCGGACCGATTTACAAGCCTGCTAAAAGTGACAAACAGGACAAATCTGGCAGTTGCAATGAATGTAGAAGCAGTGAGGGAGATCAGAATGAATTGCCTGAGAACAGAGCTAAAAGAAAGGAGTCAGAGAAGATGCAGACTATTTCTTCTGCTGTACCAGAAATAGATGATGAACTGGACCAGTTCTATAAAGAAATTCACCAGCTGGAAAATGAAAATTTAGATTCTAATTTTCAGGGAAAAGCAACTGAAACTTCTCAGGAACAATACTCTCCGTATAACTGTAGTCAAACCTCACAAGAGGATTATCAACGCATATTGTTGGGCAGCCCACAACCATTTTATGAGAATGGACAGTGTTTCTTTGGGGAACAGAACAGTCAGAAAACAAGCAATGAGCAGCAGTTTGTCATGGAAACAAGTGGCTGGAAAACTGAAAATACCTTTAATGGACAAGTAGATTTTAAATATTTTAACTACTCGGTGCCTGAATTCAGACCTGCTTGGCAGTCAACAGAGTCTTTCATAGTACCTCAGGGACCTCTTCCTTCTAGATTCAACCATCAATCGAATTTGCAGATACTTACTTCCCCACCACAAAAAACAAATGTTCTCCCTTCTCAGAGTGGTGGACTTCCTTACAAAAATTATCATGGTTACCATGGAATTACTGATACCAACAGTCACGGACCATTGCTTGATCAAAGTACCAACTATGCTGGTCATACTGATATCCATACTACTCAGGTCTTCAGAAATGGAAATAATGACCAGAATGGACTCCAAAATAATGGTTTCTGTGAAACCAGAGAAGAGTGTTGGAAGGATCCAAAAGCTGACAACACAGAAGGAATGCACAGCTTTTCTTCCTTGCAGTTACCTGAAGAAAGATTCGGTTGTTCACAGAAATTGCTCCTTATCTTAAGAGGCCTTCCTGGTTCAGGGAAATCAACACTTTCTCGGTAAGTAAAGACTTAAAGCTTGGGAAGCTTATTCAAATCAAAATTCTTAAGAATTTTTTAAAAAATTACCTGTAAGCACTTGGCAAACTTTGTTATTTGTAAATTAGGCTGTTAAAATGCAGTAATTTTTACTTAATGAGGACATATGACAGTAAATATTGAAAAAATACGGGGTTTTTTTGTCTCCTTTAGAGTTTTGATGAACAGGAGCTGTTTTATGTTAAATTTAAAATGTTCTGTATCCATTAAATTGCATAATCTGTTATTCTGAAGCTTTCAGGTGTACTAGTATGTCATGGTCTGCTTCTTTTATTCTTATATTCCTTCATTTAAAAAAAATCTTCCGTCAAATCTAGTAGCGTTAATTTGACTGAACCAGAAGTACTTTTTTATGCCCATGCAAAAATCTTCAAAGACCATTGAAAGAATTTTGCTACTCTGAAAATACTTAATTTGTTTTCAGTGTGTTGATGAAACTGAGCATAATCTCATTCCCTTTTTTTTCGTACTATGGTCTGTCAACTTCTCTGTTTAATTGCGAACAACACACAAGAAAAGTATTATTTTCCCTTAAAATATACTTGTTGAAGTCTGGCAGGTTAAAAGCAAGTACCACTTTGTCCTGGTTTTGGCTGGGATAGGGTTAAATTTCTTCCTAGTACTGTGTTTTGGATTTAGTATGAGAAGAATGTTGATAACACACTGATGTTTTCAGTTGTTGCTAAGTACCCTGTCAAGGACAGCTTCCATGCTACCAAGCAGAGGCTGGGAGGGAGCACAGCCAGGACAGCTAGCCCAGCTGGCCAACAGGGTGTTCCATATTATGTGATGTCATGCTCAGTATACGAATGGTAGGCATGATCCAGGAAGTAGCGATCGCTTCTTGGTTGTCGGTCAGCGCGGGTGGTGAGCAATTTCATTGTGCATCACTCATTTTGTATATTCTATTATTCTTATTATTATGTTCCCTTTTCTGTTCTATTAAACTGACTTTATCTCAACTCACGAGTTTTTTTCACTCTTACCCTTCCGATTCTCTCCCCATCCCACCAGGGGGAGGGGGGGAGTGAGCAAGTGGCTGCATGGTATTTGGCTGCCTGCCAGGTTAAACCGACTTTTTTTTTTGCCTAGTTTAAAAAGCACGTAAGTTGACATAGAGCACAGGCACTATCTGTGTTAGGTGAAAATAGGTTTCTCTTGCACACACACACACAAAAAAGAAGTTACTGTATCAGTACTCACTGATTGATCTTCATCCAGAAACTGTACATCACAAATGGGATGTCTTTTGTGGTTATCTTCTGTTGTATGCTGAGTCTATTAAATAGATACAGTGATCATGTTCTTCCTTGTTCTATGTAAAAAGGAGTAACCTTGCTGTTTGTTTTTTTCCCCTGATATTTAGGAGGCTGTGATCTCCGTATCATAGAAAAATACCTATTAGAAATTTCTAGCTTATATATTTGTATAATTTTAACTATAACATTTCCTAGTTACTGAGTGCTCTATTTTGCAAACCTGCATTTCTGAAGCTGCGTGAGCCTGTGTGGGTATTATTACAGTAATTTCTTTAATATATCAAAGCAACACAGAAAATTAAAAAAAAAAACAACAGTGGAAAAAATGTTGCCTCAGTCAGTGCAGGAATTTGATAATACTTAATGTGAAGATATCTAATAGAATAGAATATTTTGTTTTCCATGTTTTGTGTGCTGAATTGTCTTTGAATCTTTCTCCAATTATGTTATTCATATTATCTGAAAGATTCTAAATATCTTCAGGTTTTTATGAACACACGTTGTTGCTTTTTTATCTTGCTAGTGAGATCAATTACTAATTTCATTTAACAGATGGGAAAGCGGGCACTATGAGGTCAAGGTCAAGAATAGTCACCAAATTTGGGTGCAGAATTTGAACTGTGTGGGACTTATTTTTCAGTGTATTCAATTATATGCAGTTTCATATGTTCAAAGCTTGGTTGCAATTGTTAATCCCCATGAAATCATGTCTCAGGGTCTCAGGTACCTGGTGGTCGTGGTGGGGGAACCCAGAATTAATGTCTGCCTGTGAGGAAAATATATGTATTATTAATTAAGTCTTATTCTTAGTGTAAGTTGACTATGTTTGTGTGTGTAACATCACAGACTTCTGCAGTGTAGACTAGGGGAGCAAATACAGTCTTTTGATGTCATATTAGTACCCACAGGTATCTTTGCAGGTTTGGCATCTTTAGCACCTGCAGACAAACCTCTACCACTTGTGCTAGCAAAATGACTGTGAAGGAAAAGCAGAAAATTGACATAATCTGTGTGGATCAGCACTAGAAAGGAATGAGATGCATCTTGGAAGTGGGTTTCCCAAGTATGAAATGACAGCCCAGCAGTAGTGAGACCCAGGAATCTTGAATTCCTATCTGTGTTTTGTGCAAAGCGAGGGTTTGTAACTTTTCCTCCTGCTCCCAAACTTGACCCGTGTCTGTCCTGAATCTTCCACTGAAGTCTGTGTTTTGTTTTGGCTCTTCCATCCCAACTGCTTGGAATCACAGGCGTGTTTTTTGGAAGAGGCTTCTGGAGGTCAGCTAGTCCACCGTTCTGCTTGGAGCAGGTCTGTCTCCATCGTTGGGTCAGATCAGTTGTGTCTTTGTCTAGCCTGATCTTGAAAAATCTACAAGTACAGAGATTCCACAGTCTCTCCAAACTTTTCTGGTGCAGTACTACCTTCCTAGTAAAGAAGTTCTTCCTGATCTCCAAACTGAAGTTCTCAAGCCATAATTTGCCTGTGTTCTCCTGTGTTATACCATGTGCTGGTAGAATCTGGCTCATCATCTTTGCAGTTTCCCTTCAGGTAAGGGAATAGGCTTACTCACTGTAATAGGGTGATATCAGATGGCCTTTTACTGTCTTCATTGCCAGACTAAACAAGCCCAGCTGCTATTAACCTCTCCTCATAGGTCATATGCCCTTAGCCATCTTGGTAGCCATCTGTTCAGCCCTTTCATGGTTTTCAGCATGTTGTTTGAACTGGAAAGCCCCAAACTGGACACAGTATTTCAGAACTGACTGCACAACAGCCAGGTAGAGTGTGGATGATAACTTCCGTTGATCTACTGGCCACATTTTCTCTAATAAAGCTCAGCATGTGATTTTCTCTTCTTTTGATGAGAGCACACCGTGCGCTCGTCTCCAGTTTGTTGTCCACTGTAATCCTCAGCTCCTTTTCAGCAGAGCTGCTCAAACAGTTGCTTTCCATCCTGTACTGATGCTTAGGTTTCTTTTTCACCAGTTGCAGAACTTTGCGCTTTTCCTTGTTGAGCTTCATGATGTTTTGCTTAGCCTAGTGCTCAAGTTTCTCAGTGTCCTTCTGGATAGAAGCCCTACGTCGGTATGTCGGGCATGACTACTAATTTGGTGTCATCTGCAAGTTCTCTGCCTTATCATCCAGGCTAATGATGAAGGTATTGAAAAAATTGGTTCCACTATCGTCCCTTGCTGTACTCTGCTTGTTACTGACTGGGACATGATATCAGAAGCCTTGATAATTTTAAAGTATGCTACATTAATCACTCTGTCCTCATCCACAAAGGCAGTTGTTTCATCAGAGAGTGCATTCTGGTCAGTAAAGAATGATTTGTCTGTTGCAAAACCCATGTTGACTCTTCCCAATTACCTTCATTTCCTTCACATGTTTGGAAATAGATTCCGAGAGGATGCACTCCATTGTCTTTCCAGGAAATGAGGTTAGGTGAGGTTGAGCAGCCTTTAGTTCCTTGGGTCCTTGTCTTTACTTACGCCTTAAATACGAGCATAACATTACCGGTTTCCTGGTCATTGGGGAGCTCCCCTCATCTCCTCCATTTCCTGCGGTCACCTGACCTAGACAATCCCAGCCTCCTGAGGCTCATTCAAGTTCCTATCTCTTTGTCCATCTATTTCCAGTTTTGTTTTCCTCTTGCTATCCAACCATGGCTCTTTGGTCTATGCTTATTAGCTCCACGTCTGCTCCTAAATTCTAAACTGATTTGTCAGTTCCTTCTTGTCCCCCTCCCCTTTCTTCCCAAATTCGTCTTGTCCCTCTTTCAGCCGGTGGTATTATCTCTTCATTGTACCAATTT